TTTTGATTTTTAATATTAAAATAAATTTATAAATTTCAAAATTTACTAATTAATTTATTCAAATTATGGTATTTATTTTGATATCTTTTATTTCTTATTTAAAATTATCATATTCTTCATTTATTTATATTTATTTTTTTTATTCAAATATCCATTAATATTATGATCTTTAATAATAATAATATCAAATATTAGTCCAGTTTTACTTTTTTTTATCTATCACAATATATCTAATATTTTATGATATTGTATATCACTTTTTGATATTATTTGTTTGTTCAATATCATAGTAATATCATTATATTGGAACACTGTTTCATTTATTGATTATTTTATGTGTATTTTCTTATTATCTAATATTATAATACAAATATTATCATGTTTCTCAATTTATGATTTTTATGACAAATACAAGATAATAGAAAATGTTCTATTATTGATAAATTGTATTTACAAAGTGTGATAGTATTTTAATCATTTGTAATATTTTATCTTTCTGTATACACTGAATATTACTCCTTCTAGTATTTTAGTTAATTGGATAAATGAATTCTTTTTAATATTGATTGAATTCAATGTATTGATTATAGTAGTTTTATCTACAATTTTTTAACTTAATCCATATTCTAAAATAGCCATTTATTTGATTTCAATTTATTATATTTGTTTATCATTAATTTCTTTGTTTTTCAAATTACAAACATCAAAATATAATTTATAACAAATTTATATTTAATATAGTATTTATCTTTTTATTTTTATACTTTCTTCTATCATTATTAATATGTTGTATTTTAATATTTCATTTCTATTTTAATTCTTTCATTTCTCTTTCTGTTTTATTATTTATTTTAAAATTAAATTAATTTGAAACATTATTATTGAAATTAAATAAAGAAGATTAAAGAGAGAGTTAATCAAAAGAGAAAATGAATAAAATAATAACAACGAATTGAAAGATTTTTATAAATGACAAAATGAATAAAATAGTATTTAAATTAATTTATTTATTAACATTATGATATAATGATAATCATACCATTTCATTTAATAATAGAAATGAAGAAATATAAAGTAAAATGAAAATAAGAAGTAAAATGAATCAAAAAGAAGATGATAAATGAAGAAATGATAAGAGATGTAAAAAATGATCAGAAATAATTGAAAATATCAATAAAATTGAATTGATAAATAATAAATAATGTAAATAAAATAATAAATAATGTAAATAAAATAAATGAATAAATAATAAATCAAATTTAATGAATGATAAAATAAATACAAATCAATAATAAAATCAATAATGAATGAAATAAGAGAATAGAATGAAGAATAATCAATAATAATTCATCATTTATTAAATATAAATCATTTATAGTATTTTATATAAATTATTTATAAATGAAACTGATATTACTAATTAAATATAATAATTATATAAAATAATAAAATAAGAGAATATAAAGAAGAATATAATAATAAAATAAGATATATCCATTCTTATTCTTATTATTTTATATTAGATGATATTTTATTATTTTATATTTGTTGATATTGTTTGTTTATATTTTATTATTGTTATTTATTGTTGTTTATCTTATATCATTTATTTATTATATGTTGTATTGTTATTTATCAATGTTAATATGAAATGAATAATAATGAATAAATATAAAATAAGAATAAAATGATATAAGAATATAACATAAATAATAAAATAAGAAATATATAATAGATATAAAGATAAAAGAAGAATAAAATAAATAAATATAAAATAAAATAAATAAAATAAAAAATAAATAAAAAAGAATAAAATAAATATTTTATTATATTTTTATTTATCTTTTATTCTTATTTCTTTTTATTATTTATTAAATTAACACAATGAATATGATTCTTTCAAATAAAATAAAAATAAAAGAAGAATGAAATATGAACATTTTTGTATTCACCATTTCATTTATTGATAGATGAAATGTTCATATTCATTTATTGATTTTATTTTATATTCTTTTTCAGTTTTTATATTTCAAATAAATAATAATAAATAAAAATCATTTCATTTCAATTACAATAATTCGTTCTGGTGTGAAATATTCTGGATATTGTTTTCCACAAAGTGCACTTAATATTCCTTTATATTCAAATGAATGTTGTTTACAATATGATTCTGTTTTATCATTTTATTTATTAGCACTAATATCATTTCTAATAATCCAAACGCAAACGGATAATCACTTGATTGATTAGATAAATAAAATGCATATTGAGGATCTTTAATATCAAATTTCATCATTCCTTGTATTCTTCCATTTGTTTCTAATGAAAATAAAAATGATTTTGGATCATTTATGTAATCATCAACTTTATCAATTTTCACATTTAACATATCCTCCAAATTTATTTCCATATGTATCTTCAATAATAATTATTATATGTTCTTTATTTATTATTCTTTGATCAAATACTGATGTATTAATATTCCAATTATCATCTGAATCAAATAATATATTGAATATTCTTCTTGATGTCCATTCTTCTAGTTATTGTATTTCTTCTTGTTTCTTATTTCTTCTTCTATTTTCTTTCTTCTTCTTTTCTCATCTTCTGCTCTAAATAATC